AACATGTCTTCTTCTTGCACACAGTATGAAATGAGCTCATTTAGAGTCCATTTATCCTTTTGGCAGTTATAACTGACCTTAAACTAATTGAATTGTGCAGGAAGAGACAACAAAATCAGATACACTAATAACTCATCACAAAGATCGAGTTTAAGTGCCTTAAGCTTTGAAGCAATATGAGACATTTCCATAATGTACTCCCTGATATTTCATTTGCCCTTATACTTCATTGAAATCAAGCGAGCTAAGAGCGTGCTTGTTTCTACCTTATCGTTTTTCGCAAAACGCTTCTCAATTTCGGCAAGGAAATCTTTAGCCTTAGTAATCCATTCGGATTCTATGCCCCTGAAGGCTTCAGGAACGCCGCGCTTAATGATCATAAGACTCATGCGATTTGAACGCTCCCACTTCTCATACTCCTTCTTTGCATCAAGAGTGTTATCCGCATTGAGAGGTTGGGGTTGTTCAGTTCTTAATGCATAGTCAAGATCCATGCAGCCAAGAATAATTAATATGTTCTCTTTCCAAACCTTGAAGTTTGTCCCATTTAGCATGGGAATTGAGTTGATGTTAGCAGAAATTGTTGCAGCAGATGCATTAGCTGAAATAAAACAAAAATGCTCACATCAATAACCATAATCAATAAAATTCAAATAATGACAATCCCCATCCAAGATACCGGCACAACATTAATATCAAGTCTTTGGACAGTAATATTAACTTGTAAGTGATACCTTGTTGCAATGATCAAACATTGACAATAACTCATGTCAAATAATGAAACTATCTTTGGATCGATTCATTATTCACATGTAAACCTTATAATTGTCACACGCTTATCATCACAGATGTGTATACAGTCTAAATAAATATTAACATTCATTTGGGGCGATTAAATATTTACACAAAAGCATACACACAAACATCTCACATTCCTCATGAACAATCTACACAAGAGAGGTTACTTTGGCAACTTCTTGTTTCAATTAATCAATTGGAGTGAGAGACAACATTAATACCTTAGTGTCATAATATTTGAATTAAATAATTGATTAAAAAACAAATTAGATTTAAATTAAAAGGTTTTAATTTAAATCAACTGAATTTCTAAAAAAACTTAATTAGGGTCTCATAGCTTAATTAGGGCCTATAACTTAATTGAATAAATTAAGTATACCAAAGTGGACCCATGAAAAACCGAGGCTTAACCATAGTGAACATGGAGTTCGCTTGACTTCGAACGCGAGGTTCGACTGTATTGAGTACAAGACTCACTTAAGCATGAACGCGAGGTTCGTCTGAAAATGAACGTGATGTTCAACTTGAGAACGAACGCGAGGTTCGTTTGAAAAATGAACGCGAGGTTTGACTTGAATTGAGCGCGAGGCTCACCTAAGAACTGAGCGCGAGGCTCAACTTGAATTGAGCGCGAGGCTCACCTGAGAACAAACGCGAAGTTCGTTTGAAATTGAGCGCGGGGCTCAACCTGAATTGAGCGCGAGGCTCACCTGAGAACAAACGCTAAGTTCGTCTGAATTGAGCGCGAAGCTCACCTGAGAACGAACGCGAAGTTCGTTTGAAATTGAGCGTGAGGCTCAACCTGAGAACGAACACGAAGTTCGTCTGAATTGAGCACGAAGCTCACCTGAGAACGAACGCGAAGTTCGTTTGAAATTGAGCACGAGGCTCAACCTGAGAACGAACGCGAAGTTCGTCTGAATTGAGAGCGAAGCTCACCTGAGAACGAACACGAAGTTCGTTTGAAGCTTTCAAGCCTCGCCAAAATAGGTAACCACCTCCTTAATTTTTACCATGTTTTCACGCACGAACCCTTAGGGTTTCAAACTGAAACCGCCGCCGCCATTGCTCCGGCACCCAAGAGGTCGAAACCCTAGGGTTTCCTGACGCCGCCGTCGCCGTCGGAGTCGAGAGCGAGGCCGCCAGCCAAAGTTCGCCGGCAAGGAGCACGGGACCGAAGACCAAACCCAAAAAATTCCTCGATTTTTATTTTCAAAAACCAGATCCATAATCGGAAAAATTTTCGTGATCTAGATCCAAGAAAATTCCAAAAAATTCCAAAATGTTACTGTTCATGACAAATTTTTTACTGTTCATCCGAAAAATAAAAACATACCTGTTCATCCGAACTTTATTGTTCATCCGAGAACAGATCTTAATCCAAAAAAAAACCCAGAGATTTAAGATCAAAAACCCAATTTTAAAACTTAAATCCCTAAGAATTAATCAAATGTGGCTCTGATACCACTTGTTAGATCTTATAAAAACTTGAGATCTAAAACCATAACGCCATGATTAATTCGAAGAGATTAACAAGAATCAAAAGAGCGGAAGCTTATACCTGAATCCATAGATGAAACTTGAGATGGGTTTTGGATCTTCTAACCTTAGGGTTTCTCTAGCCAAATTTCTCTCTAGATGGGGGTGAAGAGAAATAGAGAATGTAACCCTAGATTAGGGACCATAACCCCTTATTTATAGATGTTGTACATTTGCAATTTGGCCGCTCATCAAATCACAATTACAACCTGGTATCTGCACATATAACCCCATGACTTATTTAAATACACATTAACCCAAATTAATTGATCACTTTAGTGGGTTATCCTGAAGGATAGCAATACACATTGATTAATCATATGTGCCCACAAATAGATTTATTAGTTTAAATCCAACAGGATTTGCCACTTTCTTTACTCACACCCTCTCTTTCTCCCTCCTCCTTATCCATTGCTCTCAGGGCAATGGTTAGCAAAACTCAACTCAATTCCTTTTCTCTTATGATCTTTGACCTTTCTAGATAGAAATACAAAACAAGATTTGATTATACTAATATTTAAAAAGTCCGTACGACCACCAATTAAAATTTTGATGGGTTCCAAATTCTAATTCTAATTTCCCCCCAAGAACCATAGTGTTAACATATCATTTAAGTATGAGTTATGAGGCTGTTTGGTTGGGGGAATGGAGCTAAAAAATATATTGTTATTAGAAAATGCGAAAGCCTGTACGCTTTGCATAAAAAATTACAAGGATTATCGTAACGGATTTGATCATACTCCCTTTAAAAACACGAGTTCGGAAAAATCTTTCTGTAGACAAAAATACCCCTACAAAGTTTGAATTATCCTATCTATAATCAAATTCTAATTTTTAAATTAATAATGATTTATTCTATGGTCCTAACAGTGTACCAACTCAAACTCCTGATTAAACTTTATACTAACAACATTCTTTATATATAAATCCTAGATTGATAACAAATCCCCGATTAAACTCCAACAATAATATTCTTATCTGTAGACTCAAACTTTAATTGGACTATTTCCTTATTCTTAAGACTCCAACAACATTCTTATTCTTATCTGTAGACTCAAACTTTAATTGGACTATTTCCTTATTCTTAAGACTCCAACAACATTCTTATCCGTAGACTCCTAGACTCAAACTTTAATTGGACTATTTCCTTATTCTTAAGACTCCAACAACATTCTTATCCGTAGACTCCAACATTCTTATCTGTACACAATAATTAGGTGAGATCCCCGATTTAATTTGCTTTGATTATCATTCATAAACTGATTATTTATAACAAATCCGTGATTTTTTTAATTTGATTAGTTGCTTGTTGTTTACTTGGAGTTCTTATATTAGTATTTGATTACAGTGTTTACAAGCATAATGGAGAAAAGAAGAGCATGACCGTTACTCAATTCGAACTTACTGATGCTAGATGATGCTTTCCGTGCTGGGATGAACCGGCTTTTAAGGTTTTTTTTCTCTTCACTTTTTTTTTTTTGTGATTTGGCGAATACAGACTGAGAGTAGGATTTGTTTATTTTCTAATAAGGTTAGGAAATTCAGAAGACCAATCAAAGTAGTTCTTTCATGTTGTTAGATATTTTGCTCTAGCTTCTTATTTATTGACCGGATTTTTATATTTCATATTGAAAATGAGTTCTCATGCTTTGTAGTTTGAAGAATAAATACTCTGTCACACCCTGGGCCCTTGAGCCCGTTGGGACAATGTAGTGGGATTCATGAAGTGCAACGCATGGTTTGGTTCAATCCCCTGCTAAAATTGACTATTATTATCTGTAGACTTAAATTTTATACACAATTCAAATCCTAATAAAATCCCCGATTGATTAAATATTGTTTTCCCCGATTGATTAGATATTGTTTTCCCCGATTGATTGTAACACAATTCAAATCCTAATAAAACTCTAACTATGACTATTACTTGTCACATGCAATACCTCGTGTCTATATATAAACAAAGAAATTACACAATTTTTATAGTAACGTCATCTTCTTCAACATGTATGTTTATTTTTTTTATTTTCATGATTATTCTTTAGAAATATTGTGTATTTGATTTAAGGGAAAAATGTGTCCAGGCCCCAAAAACAGAAACATCATGTGCTGCAGCCCCTCCTAGTTTCCCCCATGTGGTTCAGCCCCTTGAAATGTGAGATTTTGTGCTGCAGCCCCTTTTTAACAATTATTACATGCCAGCTAAGCTAAAATCCCCAAAATAACCTTATCTCCTCTCCTCAATCAAACCCAGCTCTCTCTCTCTCTCTTTTTAAAAACAAGGGCTTTCTCAAGCTCGTCACCCTGGCCCTCGCCCTCCTCGCCGTCGCCACCTCCGCCTAGGCTCCCAAGCCTCCCCCGGGTCCTCCGCCCGACCTCGTCGCGGTAGCTCGCCGTCGCTCCTCGTCTCGCCCTCGACTACGCCGGAGTTCGCCGCTGCGCCTGCCACTTTTGATCTCCATGTTATTAGATTCTTTTCACAGAATGTAGAGGAGATGATAATGCAGGAATCAAGACTTTGTTTAAATAGGGGATTGGTTTGGTCGTCGTAGTTAAGGAACTTATGAGAGGTACTTGACATTCTGCTAAGTGAAGTCGAGAAAAGCAGTAACTTCAGTAGTGAAAGGGACTTATTTATATATGAATTTTGATTATACCCATATGCCATGGCAGGGGTCCTTGCAACATCCTCTATATCTTTAATGATCGACTTCAGCAGAGCAACATGTATTTCTCCCAATAATTTTGAATCCTGCAGAGATACGAGGCTAAATCAATATGAAGCAACTAGCAAGGCAGGGTATGCAGAACAACCAGGTGCAGAAAAAGCATAGTCCAGCATTGATTTGGTTAGCCAACATATGCAGAGTACGATTATTAAGGTTGATAATGTATATTTTCAATGAATATTATCATTTTTCAGACCTAATTTTGTTCCCACGGATTTAAGGAGAAGAAAACAATGAAAACTTGTGAAATTAGAAAAGTATGTGAGCAGTAAAATCAGTGGGTTAGTTTTAATCTGCACAGTGTTAGTTCTATTCTGTAGCGTGTTAGTTCTAATCTGCACAGTGTTAGTTCTATTCTGTAGCGTGTTAGTTCTAATCTGCACAGTGTTAGTTCTATTCTGTAGCGTGTTAGTTCTAATCTGCACAGTATTAGTTCTATTCTGTAGCGTGTTAGTTCTAATCTGCACAGTGTTAGTTCTATTCTGTAGCGTGTTAGTTCTATTTTGCACAGTGTTAGTTCTATTCTGTAGCGTGTTAGTTCTATTCTGCACAGTGTTAGTTCTATTCTGTAGCGTGTTAGTTCTAATCTGCACAGTGTTAGTTCTAATTTCTACCACGTTAGTTCTATTTTATACCGCGTTAGTTCTAATTTATACCAAGTTAGTTCTAATTTATATCACGTTAGTTCTAATTTATACCAAGTTAGTTCTAATTTATACCACGTTAGTTTTATTTTATGCTGCGTTAGTTCTAATTTATATCAAGTTAGTTCTATTTTATTCTACGTTAGTTTTAATTATCACCAAGAGGATGACGGCCTCTGCAGTGAGGACGTCCTCTGCAGTGACAAGACTGGGACTCTAACCCTCAACAAGCTCACCGTCGACAAGAGCCTCATCGAGGTCTTCGCCAAGGGTGTCGACAGAGACGGAGTTGTTTTGTATGCTGCGAGGGCCTCTAGGATGGAGAACCAGGACGCTATTGATGCTTCCATTGTCAACATGCTCGCTGATCCTAAAGAGGTAATCAAAGATCTTTTTTTTGTACACACAAACAGAAGTATCGGGGTCAGTTAAGTAGCAACTCCCAAAACAAATTTGAGACAAGTTCGACTCAATTTTGGACAGAAGATGGACCAAAACAAAACCAATTTGAGACAAGTTTGACTCAAAAGAAAACAAGTTTAAGTCGTGGTCCTTTTTTTTTTTTGCAAACTAGGACTAGGACCTAAACTGGTTTTCTTCCACTAACCTAGTTTAAGTGAAGTTGCCAAGCAGGCTCTCATATCCAATACTCATATCGCGAATTTATATTGTTGAGTAGGCGAGAGCCGGGATCAAGGAGGTGCACTTCCTTCCCTTCAACCCAGTCGAGAAGCGCACGGCCATCACCTACATCGACGAGAGCGGAAAATGGCACAGGGCAAGCAAAGGCGCACCCGAACAGATCATCGACCTCTGCAACATGACCAAACACGCCAAGCATAAGGTCCACAAGATGATTGATCAGTTTGCTGATCGTGGCCTTAGATCATTGGGTGTTGCAAGGCAAGAAGTCACAGAGGCGACCAAGGAGAGCGAGGGCGCACCGTGGCAGTTCGTGGGGTTGCTCCCGCTCTTCGATCCACCGAGGCACAACAGCGCTGAGACCATCCGTCGTGCCCTAAACCTCGGCGTCAATGTCAAGATGATCACAGGTGATCAGCTCGCTATCGGTAAAGAGACCGGAAGAAGGCTTGGTATGGGGACTAACATGTACCCGTCCACTATTCTTCTTGGTGACAAAAACAACGAGCTTGACATTGATGAGCTTATCGAGAAGGCTGACGGATTTGCAGGAGTCTTCCCAGGTATGCAACATATATTTTATACTAACGTAGTATAAAATAGAACTAACTTGGTATAAATTAGAACTAACGCGGTATAAAATAGAACTAACGTGGTATAAATTAGAACTAACTTGGTATAAATTAGAACTAACTTGGTATAAATTAGAACTAACGCGGTATAAAATAGAACTAACGTGGTATAAATTAGAACTAACACGCTACAGAATAGAACTAACACTGTGCAGAATAGAACTAACACGCTACAGAATAGAACTAACACTGTGCAGAATAGAACTAACATGCTACAGAATAGAACTAACACTGTGCAGAATAGAACTAACACGCTACAGAATAGAACTAACATTGTGCAGATTAGAACTAACACGCTACAGAATAGAACTAACATTGTGCAGATTAGAACTAACACGCTACAGAATAGAACTAACACTGTGCAGATTAGAACTAACACTCTACAGAACAGAACTAACACTGTGCAGATTAGAACTAACACGCTACAGAATAGAACTAATACTGTGCAGATTAGAACTAACACGCTACAAAATAGAACTAACACTGTGCAGATTAGAACTAACCCACTGATTTTACTGCTCACATACTTTTCTAATTTCACAAGTTTTCATTGTTTTCTTCTCCTTAAATCTGTGGGAACAAAATTAGTTCTGAAAAATGATAATATTCATTGAAAATATACATTATCAACCTTAATAATCGTACTCTGCATATGCTGGCTGACCAAATCAATGCTGGACTATGCTTTTTCTGCACCTGGTTGTTCTGCATACCCTGCCTTGCTAGTTGCTTCATATTGATTTAGCCTCGTATCTCTGCAGGATTCAAAATTATTGGGAGAAATACATGTTGCTCTGCTGAAGTCGATCATTAAAGATATAGAGGATGTTGCAAGGACCCCTGCCATGGCATATGGGTATAATCAAAATTCATGTATAAATAAGTCCCTTTCACTACTGAAGTTACTGCTTTTCTCGACTTCACTTAGCAGAATGTCAAGTACCTCTCATAAGTTCCTTAACTACGACGACCAAACCAATCTGGCATGTAATAATTGTTAAAAAGGGGCTGCAGCACAAAATGTCACACTTCAAGGGGCTGAACCACATGGGGGAAAGTAGGAGGGGCTGCAGCACATGAAATTTCTATTTTGGGGGCCTGGACACATTTTTCCCTTGATTTAATGGTGATACTTATTTTACACTGTAATTATTTTTTATGGCAATTGATAATTTTTTAAAATTTCTTTAATTTTTATGCAGAATTTAGAGGATTAAGGATTTGATTGTTGCAGGTTCATGTTTAATACTATTTTAATTTAGATTTATTTGATTATATATTTTATTTGATTAAACCGAATAGAAATCAGATACTTTTCCTCTTCCTTTTTTTATCTTTTTTTTATTTTGTTATTTGCATGCTTTTAATTAGTTTCTATTTTTGCGTAGATTACAACACATTCATACTCAGTCAAGGCTCTTTTATTATAAGGCATAATATCAAAATAACTTAATTTTATATATTTAGTCGCTTTTATAGTAATATTTGGTACCTTTTATATTCGTTTTGCCAATTCTACATCACTTGCAAGTTCTTCTTCCACGTGCAAGTAGCTGTCAGATTTCCATCTCATTTAATATTGGCCTGTGCAAGTAGCATAGGTTCTTAATTATTTCCTCATCAGTATTTCTATTAAGGGAGATGTTAGTATCCAAAAGGAGGAAGTTTTATTGTGACTTTTTAATTGTCTATGACATAAAAATATAAATTTTGATGATAACTTAGATAACAATACAGTAAACGTCAGTTCTAAACTTTCTTACAACCTTGCAATAACAGTAAGTTTAACAAGTTACAATATAATTTCTCCTTAGCTTCCGAATGAGGAATTTTAGTCCCCAATGTATTCGTAGAACGGAGGACATGAATTTCTTATTATACTCCTTCAACAATATAATTTTTTCATCACATTATTTTCAAGTGCTTAATTCACTTAAAAAGCACCATTTGGTCATGCAAAAAAAGCCATGTAGATCATCAAAAGCGTTTTGCAAACACAATTATTTCATGATGCATTGACACATTTGTGTGAAATCATTCACATACGAAGTTCCATGAATGCAGACAGAAGAAAGTCCGAGCATATGGGGAAGATGTTGCTAATACATAAGGATCCTCTGATTTTATTCCTTTCTGGAATTTGGATGTTTAAACATTCTTTCTGGATTATAAAAAATAATCCCCCCCCCCTCCTTTGTTTTCCCCTTTTATCCTCATTTCTTTTGTGCTAACATCATCTCATTTCCTATAAGAAATGCCCATATCCCTTCCTAGCTCTTGGTCAATTAAAAACTTAGAATTCACAGAGATTTTTTTGGAATCTTTGAGTTGTAAGAACATGAAAATCATTTGACCACAACTTATTCTAATCGTTCTTGTGAATTCTTCTTCTTCTTCTTCTTACATACACACTCTACTAAACTCTAGTTTAATAAATAAATATATGAATATGATTGTCTTAGCCCCAAATTTATCAATAAAAGGATACTTTCCCAGTTTAGCTTAAAAATCCATTACATTTATTTTTATTAATATTTAAATAAAATACTAATATATCTAATAATTCAATTTTACATATTTGAACTCAAGATGAATCTGACTTATTTAAAGTAATGAAATAAATATAAAAGATTTTTTTAATATTTAACCACGTGCAATGCATGTGCATAAAAACTAGTAGGAGAAAAAGAAGCAGCTTCCCAAAAGGAAAATAAAAAATAAAAAATGCCAGCTCATCAAATAACAAGATTCTAATTTAAATCTACAGAAAATGATGTAGAGTTTACACCATTTTTTTACAAAAATTTTTACACCAATTATTATCAGTCAAAAAGCTGAGTTTGCAATGCAAATACATTTTTCTCAATAAAATTATAAATAACCCAAAAAACAAACTTTAAGTTGACTTCCAGCAACAAATGTTGCATGAAACAGTTGATGCTACAACATTTGATGCAATTCATTTTTGCGGCAAACCAGACGGCCCCATATAGATTGGTCACAATATGATATGTGGAAATTTCTTGCCTACGAAGATGTGATCATGCAGTGACTATTGAGCAAGAAATCTATGTGATAAAACAACTAAAAAATGATACGTATTTCTGATATAATTTACCCTTAACAAGGATAGAGATCTTCTATATCCTTAATTGTAGAGATCCTCTACAATTTACCAATCAAAACTCTTCACTCAATGGACCTCATGAATGATATTAACTATCTAAATAATATAAAAATACTTTTAATTATGAGATCTACTGAGATAAGCCAATAGTATTAGTCTACCTAACAAACTGTAGGCATTCTCTACAATCAAGGTTGTATAGAATTCGAACCCAACACTAGTTATCTAAGATTTGTAGATAAGCATGCTAAGACTTTAGATTCAGTTGTTTGATCTATATGACATTGAATTGCATTTTTTTATCGACTAGTATGGTGTACGTGCATTGCACGTGTTTCCATTTCCTATTTATATACAATGATAGTTTTATGTACCTAATGTATATTTTTTTTATATACGGTATTTTAAATCATTTCGATTTGCAATTGATAATTTATTAGATATCAAATCAGTTTTTCCAGTCATGAGTTTGTACATTCTATTTAGGGTAAATACAACAATGCCTCTAAATAAACTTTTAAACTTTTAAAATATCGCGAAACCTCCTTAAGTTCTAGTTTTCTCAGGAAAACACTTTCAATGTTTAACAGAAATACAAATTTCATTGGCAAAAATATCGCCCTGCATAAACCTACATGTATGCGAAAAAGAACAAAGTCAAGATTAACGCTATTAAGAAGAGTTTTCTAAAAATTGTTAAAAGTTTAAGGGGACTTACTGAGATCGCTAAAGATTAGTAGGGTTTTATGACATTTTACACATTAAGTGATATTATTTAGAGAATGCCCAAATTTAAGGGGTTTTCTGAAAGGCTAAAAAGCATTAGGTACCTTGTAATTCATTAATTAACTTAGTTATTTATTAAATTATTTATTTAGTTAATAATAACTAACTTGTTAATATAGAATAATTTTAGCCTCAAATTAATAAGCTACATAAATAAGACATGAGTCCTTTTTGCTCCTTTAATTCAATGCATGTAATCATGTAAGGAATCACCAAAAACCTCATAGTTAACAAAATCTCGCATGAACATAGTTTTAGACAAAGACAGAATGTGAAAATAGATGGAAACTTAATTATTATTTATTAAATGAATCACATATATTCAAATCATCTCTAAAAAAGGCAAAAAACAATTCATTGGAGAAGTTTGATAAAATATTATTATTATTTATAGTGATTTAGTGGGAGAGAAATAGTGGTAACATTTTTTATCATCTTAGCAAATAAATTTATATTTAGTCTATCAAGAGTTAGTGGAGGAGTGTTATGGGTGAGTGTTTAATTTCAAATTTAATGGCAATCAACCGGGAGGTTATGAAAAATTGTGCGTATATCTTCATGTATGTATGCATGGATGTGCAAGCAATGAAGAGGTTATGAAAACTTGAGCATGTATATGAATGGACGTGTTGGAGGATGTTATGGGAAGAAATATTTTAACATGGCAACCTACTTTTATAATAGTATCAGATTAGATTAGATTATATAATTCTTGACGCGTGATTAATTGATTATCATTCCACATATTAACTTCTTCATATAATTAACCAGACTTCTGCTAGTTTAATGAATGTGAGATTACAGATGATGGGTCGTGGTCTAGGCTATGTTGTGTCTTTAATGAGACAGGCAACCGACAACTACTACAAAACTAAGATATGTTATTATAGTTTCAACCAAAATTTATTAAGGTTGTTAGGGCTGGTGTAAGTCCCTATCATTATTTCATGCTTAAGTTTGGAGATGGTCGCAAAAATGTACTATGTGTTAACCTGGGTATGCTTGTCATTGTTTATAAAATTAATGCCTATGACAGACAAACATAGGTGAAGCACTACATTCTTCTTTTGAGAATCATCATTCAGCACGTAGCACCTATAATTATGTAAATATCAATTATATGCAGTCACGATGACTGTAACAGTAACAGCTATCACTTGCAGTTGCCTGCACTACGATTTTATTTGCAAAATTTTGCAATTGGTATTTGCAATTCTTGTGTTAGATGTTTGTTTTAGGGGGTCAGATGTCATCGATTTTGTGTAGGGATTGGTTATTAACCGGCGTTGCAGTCTAAGGCTTCATTTAGAACTTGGCAACATTTGGAGCTGCAGCTTAGCACAAATTATCTGTGAAAGCAATCACTGGCACTAGAAGGTATTTCACTTTGTAACCGTCATCTGACTCGTTTCCATTTATTCAACTGAAATAACCTACTCAATGCGGCACTTGAAAGTACAGAGAGTTTTGGTAATTTCACAACAACAAAAAAGGTTACAGACACCTGTATTTTACAACGTCAAATACAAGTATCAATATTTATGAGGAAATTAAGACACCAGATTTCTCTTATAGTACAAAAAAGAGCATAAAACGTATAGCCCAGTTAGCATTGTTCATGTTTTATAAACCGCAATAAATGGCATAAGCACCGAACCTAACCAGAGTTCGCCATCCTTTTCCTCTACTTCACTCACAGCTCGAACAACCTTACCTTGTCTATCCTCAAGCACTTGCATCAACTCTCCACTTGGGCTAAACTTGATAATGGTACCATGAAGCCTCCCTCCAATTTGCATCAAATAGTGGTACTTGGCTTTGATTGGAAGTGAGAGGAAAAACTTCCTCAATCGAGGATAGAGGCTCAACATGTGCGCATAAATTGTGCGTCGACAATGGATGGCCACCCAAAACTCGCCCTTCTCGTTAGTTCTCACGTTATCAGGGAATCCAGGAAGTTGAGCAAAAAGCTCTGACGTTCCAGCTTTTTCACCCTTTAGCCAGTACCTACTTAACCTGTATAGAAATAAGTATATAATTGTTTATACAATGAGCATTTAAAAACAGAAAAGGATTTTCTTTTATGATCGCTTAGATGGAAAATAAGGGTAGGTTATAACCCTCAACTCTCACCAAATTTTTGGAGTTTTGGTATAGTGGCAGGGTTTATGGTATTAGAGCAACTTGAGTTCAAATCTCAGTGGCCACACATTTAATGGGTCTAAGGAAAAAAATACACCGCCACGTGACTATATGAGTCCAGGTTTCAGCCCTTAAAAAGGAACTCAACTTTCTGGCCCAAGTTAGACATAAAACGACAAGGTTAACTACGAATAACCCCTTGTTCTATCGCCCAATTGCGGATAGACCATTTGTAGTTCTATTGGTGTGCATAGAACCTTGAGTAATTTTTCTTACTCTTGATAGAGTCAAAAGAGTTCACTCAGGAAATCAATCTGCACAAATAGAACTACAGGGGGTCTATCCGCACTTGGGTTATAGTACTGGGGGTCTATCTGCAACTAACCAAAAATTATAACCCTCAACACTCACCACAACTTCATGGTTTTGGTGCAGTGGCAGGGTCCTCTGACAATGATATTTTGGACTAACAGGTGTTTTGTTCAGTTGGAGATTTCTAGAGAATGAAAGTATAAACCAACCTGCCACGTGATCCTTCACAGAACACAAAGAATGATCCATCCTTGCTTAGAGATAAGCCATTAGGGAACTGAAGGTTTCGAAGAAGGACAGTGGTTTCCTTCGTCACAGGGTTGAATTTCAGAAGTCGACCTGAAGGTTCTGCGGTGAAAACCAGTTGCATGAAGTTCCTGAAAGGAGTATGATCAATTATTTGATGTATGTCCGGTATACATATATTGGCACCTATAGAACTGTTTAATTTATGAGGATTAACTTTCAAAGCCATAAGGTTGGCTTATTGATTGGAGGAAAACAAAATCCTTATTTAATTAATCTACAGAAGTTGTAGCTCATTATATTGCTTCACAAAAAATAAAACTTTTATGCATTTGTGCACAATAGATTTGAGACGTCTATTATGCAGGTGTCGTCATGAAAATTGTATACATTTTGTGTACCACTGATTGAGATATACATCATTCAGTTAGGCACACAGTACATGAACAGCATGGCAATTAGATGGTCAAACAAACTGATAATTCTTTCACTAATCAACCTAATCCAACTTAAAAGAAAACATGGACCACCAACCAGTTAACTGGAAATTGTGCAAGTAGAGGAAAACAAGCATTTATATTTAGGGTTAATTGCACATAGGCCCTCTGCAGTATCATTGCTTGAAGTTGAACTTACTACCCCTACCATTTCATTGTTGCAGATAAAATCCGTAGTTTTTTTTGACTCTTTTACCATTAGCTAGACTCGCTAATATCAAACGGGTAAATATGCCAAAATCTCTTAAGGGCAGAAGAGTCAGAAAATTTAACCCAGGGCTGTAACGATGAAACTACAGGGATAGTAAGTTCAAAACAACGATACTACAGGGGGTCCATGTGCAATTAACCCTTATATTTCTGCTTGGCCACTGCAATAGACATAATAAAAAGTTTCAGGTAGACAGCAGGCACATGTAATGTTAGAACCAGGCAATGTACAAGGGCTAATAGTTTTAATTGTGTTCCCACTGACTGAAGATTTTAAAGAAATAACTATAAGAGCACAAAGGAGATCTCTAGAGAAGATGACACAGCAGACAAGTGTAGATAAGGAAATCTGACTACAGAGGTATGGGTCAAGGGCATGGATCAGGCAATATTAAGCAGATAATGTGCCAGGTATGATGTAAATGACAAATGTCAGTTTCACACATTACTACTGAGTGATATACATAACAAACTATGTTTAGAATTTGAACTCTAAAAGCAACTAAAATGATAATAATAACTGATAAAAAAATACCCATATATTGACCACACAATTGTGAGTATAGTTGGTACCATTCATAACAATAGGAACTATTAGAAGTAATTTAGGGAATAAATAATATTCGACAAGATATATTAGGAGTATAAATTAGAGTTTTGATGATAGACAGATATTAGGAAAGTGATTAGGAGAGTAATTGTGATCAAGCAATTGAGTTTAGTCTCACATTTCCTACACAAAGAAATATTTGTTATTGTATCCCTATATAAAGGGGAGTAGTTTTAGCTTTCGATGGATGAATGAGAATGTACAATATTCTATTGTTTAACATGGTACCAGAGCCATGGTTCTCAAAATAAAATATTATTAGTCTATTCCTCAAACCCTAGACCCTCCACTTCTCAAACCCTAACCCTTTCTTCCTCCTATACGTCATCGTCGCCTCCTCGGGCCATTGTCACCCCCTCGTGTCGTCGCCGCCCTGCAGACTGTTGCGCTGCTTCCCTTCCAACTGCCGCCATTGGGGTTTACGCTATCGTCGCTACTGGTCTCTCTTGCCACAAAGACGAATTTGGCATAGTTTATTTGGTTGTATTTTCTGTTTTGAAGAGTTATTTCCAAAGTTAGTTGATTTTGTTGATATTTGGTGATGGTGTTGAAGTTTGAAATTGTTTGAGGGTGGTAATGTAGTGTTAGGAATTCAGTTTGGTATTTAAGGGAAGTAGGGAGGTGCTCGGTGTTTGTTTTCTGATAGGAGGGTGGTTATAATTTCTTGTTATGACCACCGATAAAGAAGTTGCTCGGCTCGTATTTTCAAAATAGTTGGCTTCTGCGTCATCATCGGTCTTAGAAGGAGATCAACTCATCAATGAGGCTTTTTAGGAGTTTCAGTATGACTATGGTGCTACTTGAAATTTGGTTTTGCTTGCATTTATGGTGCAAGATTAATTTGGTGAAGATTAGTTGGGTGAATCTCGATTCAGTAAGGATTGTTTTGTTATCCTGTTTAGATGTGTTCAGGTGGTTCTATTGGTTTGCCTGGTTGATTCTTGAAGTGGATTGTTTGTTTGATTGATCTGTGGAGAGTATCGTTTGTTTGGTTGATCAGAGGAGAGATTTGTTTGGTTGGTTGATTCGTGAAGAGGATCGTTTGTTTGGTTGATCCCTGGAGAAGATCATTTGCTTCGTTGATCCCTAGAGATGATTGTTTGTTTAGTTGATCCTTGGCGTGAATCGTTTGGTTGGTGAATCCTTGGAGAGGTTTGTTTGGTTGGTTGATTCGTGAAGAGGATCGTTTGTTTGGTTGATCCTTGGAGAGGATCATTTGCTTCGTTGATCTCTAGAGATGATTGCTTGTTTAGTTGATCCCTGGCGTGAATCGTTTGGTTGGTGAATCCTTGGAGAGGTTTGTTTGTGTAATTGATCCCTGGTGAGAATTGTTTGTTTGATGGATCCCTAAAAAGGATCAATTGTTTGGTGAATCTCTAGAAAGGATCATTTGTTTGGTAGATCCTTCGAGAGGATCATTTGTTTGGTTGATCTCTGAAGAAGATTGATGTGACATATTGGATGATTTTTTGGTAGAGGTAGTGATTGTGGTAGAGAATACTCAAAGAGTAAAAGATCAAGACTACTGCAAAGCAAAGCTAACGCAAAAGATTTCGAGCCTTTAAATCTCGTCATGAATTAGAGTGAATGCATTTTATTTGTAACAAGCTGGACATGTATGTTACAATTGCGCAGGCTTGAGGAAGAGTGTTAGAAGTAATTTAGGGAATAAATAATATAGGCAAGATATATTAGAAGTATAAATTAGAGTTTTGATGATAGAGAGATATTAGGAAAGTGATTAGGAGAGTACTTGTGATTAGGCAATTGAGTTTAGTCTCACATTGTCTGCATAGGAAAACCTATGTTATTGTATCCCTATATAAATGGAAGTAGTTGTAGCTTTGATGAATAGATGATAATCTATAATATTCTATTGTTTAACAGGAGCATCAAGTACCACTAACAGAGGATAACCATGAGTTTTCTGTTAGATGTATGCGCATTCAAATTTGAAAACAAATATCTCGGATGAGAACCATGGCTAGACTTACCTTATTCAGGATTAAAAGTGGAGACATATTCGAAGGCAAGTTTTGTGTGTGATGTGATTTGGCCACAGAAAAGGATAATAGTCAATTTTGTTCAAATATATTGTCATTCCGGAAAATTTTCTTCCAATATGATTTACATTATAGTGGCAAAGAGATAGTACTTAACCAATTGTAAATAGGGGAAATTATGATAATGTGATTCCGTAATTTAGTTACACATTTGGCAGGACTGACTGTGGAAATATTACAATGAGTTCTATATATGAAAACCAAAATGACAATGTATAGTTCATATTTTCATTGTAGAACATTGACTGATTGACCAATGAAAAGAGAAAACCATGAGAATCAAACCAGAGAACACCAGGTTATAGCAATTACGAACCAGCCACATTCAAGTTCATATTATTTATCAATTAGAAGAAGAAAACATTGTTCAGCTTATTTTCCCATTCTTTTCCTTTTTTTATTTATTTTGCGGTCCACATATTTTTAAAGTGCAAATACTATCATAACCTTTTAACCATCATGAAATTTTAGAACAGTGTAACATCACTAAAAAGTATAAAGCGATAAGATCAACAAATTTCTGCTAAAATTTTAGCCTGAGAACTACATACCTCCTTTGGTAATTGGTGCTACTGTCAGTAAAATAGATATTCCCTTCTTCATCAATATCTAAATCGTTTGTGAAATTTAAAGGGACTCCTTCTGCCTCTGTAGTTAACTGGGTAGCTAAACCACCTTCAGGCCCTACCTTTAACAGTCCAAAATATGCATCAGCAATGTATAAGTCTCCAGTTTTCTTGTGGAATCGGAGACCCAGTGGGCGTCCACAAACATGCTCATTCTTCAAATAGTCCAAAGGTGAAGACTTAGGGTTACATATGTCTGACCTTTATTGAACACGCATTCATTTCATGGTTAGTATAGTGGATATTGATAAGTAACTGAGAGATATAGACTGCATTGAGCAACTGCAACAAGAACATATATGTTTATTCTTACAATGTTGAGGTAGTGTATCCAATGCAAAGCTTAAAAAAACAAAAATAAAATTCATATGGTCATCTATCAGTCGAGTCATTTTAACAAATTGGAAAGAAACAGAGAGTATAATTTAATATTAAAATCTGAAATGTACAATGAAATTGCCCATTACTGTTGACACTAAGTAAATCTCCAATCATACGCAAAAAGTTGCGGAGTCGTTACACATTAACCTCAGCATTCACATGTTCATCTCACATCAACCAGATAAATATAACCTTTTTTTCTTTTGATTCTCAGAAGAACGTAGCGACTCAACAAAAGGTTAAAAGTAATTTTTCAGCAGTTATATTGAATAGTTTTCTAAATAAAGCTAAATGCTTATTCAAACATTTGTTGAGCCAAAGCTTATTATATGTGTTGAAAACAACTTACTTGAAGTTCAATTTTCCATTTGTCTTCAATCTCACCGAAAGAAAAACATGTTATACAAATACTGTAACAAATTACCCGAAACAATTACTCTGTACTATACATATTGTACTATTTCTCCTTGTTTAAATTATTCCACTTCCTGCTTTTCCCTTTTTTATATCACAGTCTAATGTTAGAATTAAATGACTATAATGGTTGTTTATTCTAAACCCATTCTTCTACCCTGAATTATTTTAAACTCGTCAACTTTCAAAATCATTCATATGCTCAAAAAGCCCAACATGGTTTATTTTTAAACCCATAATTGGGGTTTGGCCCCTTTATTATGGAAGTTTAACAAATATTATAGCAGCTATATCATATTACAGCACTTTATCATAGTTCACATCAGATTAACACAGATTTCGGGTTTAAAATAAAACAGGTTGGATGTCAGCTTGGATGATTTGGGCGTATGTACGAATGATTTTGGAAGCGCTCCGGGTAATAAAAAAAAAAGGTTTCAAAACAAAACCATAGCTTATATCTCGGGAAAAAAAATCTAAATATCACCAAAATATAGTTCCTTTAACTGAAGAAAAATCTTTTTCCTGTAAATTCTTCAGAAATAAGAAAGAAAACATAGAATATTCAACTCCTAACTTCATTAATCCATAAAAATGCCGAAACCATGATTTATCTGAACGTTAAGCTCAATTCCTTAACAATTCCGCAAAAAAGGGGGGAAAATCCAATCTTTACCAATAAAAAACCAATCTCTCACCTAACCGGCGAAGTGTAAGCAAAATCAGACCAAGCCTCGCCATTCCAGAACAAAACCCTACCATCAGCAACACCAGTGTAGGGCCCACGCCCCTGCGGATCAAAAGCGACGCTCTCCGGCCCCTGAACCTGACCCAAAAACCTAGCCTCCGCCCTCTGCAGAGAATCCTCGGCGTCCCTCGCGGTCGGGATCTCCGCCGCCGGCGGTAACTCGACCGCGTAGGTCTCGAACCCCGGGAACTCCGCCATCGAGCTGTGGTTGAGGGGGTCGGTGCCGCAGTAGAGAGCTAAGAGGAGGAAAGCTCCGGCGAGGAGTTTTGTCGCCGGCGACATCTTTTTGGGGGTTGATTTTGTAATTATCTGACCGTGGGGGGCTTTTTTTTATTTTTTAAAAAAAATTACCCTTTTGGTGCTGGGTGGGGGATTTTATGGAGGCAGCGAAGTAGGTAGCGGGTGGGAGGCAGTTGAACGCTGGCGGGGCTGATGTCGTTTTCTGCGTAACTGCGCAAAGCTGTTTTAGCTTGGCGAGAAGTTTTGTGCTTTAGTACCTGAGTTTTCATTATTGACAGTTCTTTGCTTTTTCGGGTTTGGATCTGTAAATCAAAGCGTGGTGAATCCAGAATTTCCAAAAATAGCATCATTATGTTTAGTAACTAGAAATGGTTACAATTGATTTTGGCGTGGTGGCTTTTTGTGCAACAAGTATGCAAAGCGTGCGTTGCACGTGATGCATGTTAGGAACTCTATGGGGGGAAACCTCTGTAGGTCAACTAATGCTGCATACATCAATATTAATATTTTTATGAAGCACGCACTTATACTTCACATAGAGTAGAGATTAACTCTACAATAATAGTACAAGCATCATGCTTATACAAGAGTCTATTATCAGCATCGCCTTCACCACAATCTTCACAGAAAACAAACATAAATGGGCAAATTCACCAAAAATGCAACAACTACAAAAAAAAGAATTAAATCAAACAACAAAAATCTCGCAATGAACTAACATTTACCTAAAAAAACAATTATGCAACTACACACAAATTAAGCAACTACACACAAATATGGTTTAGATTTATTCAATGTTAGCTACATCCATAATGAACTAACATTACATCCCTAAGATGAGAGTGGGCTTCTCATTCAAGCTACACAACCTATACAAAGAAAGAAAAAACAAAAACATGCTAGTTCAAAGATCAACCTTGAAAACAATATTGCTAGAGGATACATTTGCAGAGAGGAAAAATTGCTTGTTAAATACAGAATAATCCTTAAACTTGCAATATTATAAGAGGATGAGCTAAAACGAAAATGATAATTTTCACTTTGATATCCTAAAGTTTACATCTTTCTACTTCAATAGGCTGAAGGATTTCTTAACACTTTGATACCCCAAACTTTGAATCCAATTTTACTTCGATACCCAAAGTATTCATGTAACATTTTAATATCCAAAGTTCCAATCATATTTCACTCTGATACCCTATCCAAGTTGTGTTAGATCTTTTGTTTAATTTGTATGGTGCCTTTAGCATCTGATACATTTAGATTCAGTTTGCCCAGTTGCTAAAACAGCAGTAGAAAATTAACAAAAAAATCTAATAGATCTAGATGTAGGTATCAAAGTTAAATGAGATAGAAACCTTGGGATATCATAGTGTTAAAAAGTACTTTGGGGTTATGAAACTAAAATACGATTAAAACAGTGGGATATCAAAATATTGAAAAAAGTACTTTGGGGGTTTCAAAGTTAAAAATTGGTAAACTTTGAGATGTCAAAGTGAAATAGTAGGTACTCACTTATTATTTTAAAGATTTTCTCTGAGAGAACAACCATGTTAATCAACATATGGGTGTGTTAATGAATCGACAAATTAAACAAATTTAAAAGTTTATAATTATAAATTGATGCGAGGGAAAAAATCTATCAACAAGAGCTAATTTCTCCTAATTACTTGTATATGTCACAAATTTATACTCACATGACCATATCAACAAATTGTAGTTAATCAACTACATGTTATTCTCTTAACTTGATAATTAATACGGAAAAAATTAAAAATAAAAATAAAAAAAATCTTTAAAAGAATTCACCACTGCAACTAAGTTCATACCAAAACCTATTTGCAAGATGTAAGAATTAATATTTCTCCAAACATTCAAATCTCGATGATATCACCTATAATGGGTGATTAAGTGACCAAATATAGTTCCATGTACTTCTACTGATGATTGACTATGCTACTTTTGAAGATGATACTGTGAACACGAGACCGTTATCCATGCTCTTCTAGCAATAATTCAGTATGTAATTATATCTGATGATAGACATACATTGTGTTGTTGTGTCATGTGCAATTATATCTGTTGTCAAGCTCCAAATGGAGCCACCAAGACTGCCATCACCTTCAAAATTACCTCTAATTTCTTAGCAATAAGAAAGTATCAATACTCATCAATACGCTACGAAGCTGGCGCTTCATGGTGTTTAAGAAGTTCACAAAGGCCATTCTTATGGTTTTCTTGGAGTAGAGGAAGATGACTTAATTAAAAAAATTAGTATCTTATTGACTCTATACTTAATTAAGAAGTATTAATATCTTATTGTTAGATTCGTAAAGCGATCTTAAAATTAGCCAATTCCCACGCATGCGAGCTAATTTCTCCTGACCTCAACATAATTTTTATCTACACCAAAGAGAGAGAGAGAGAGAGTATTAGACGAAGAATGATTGAGTTAACACTTAAATGACTACCTATTAATTAAACTTAATATCATCCATCTCAATGTTTACTTTCTAACAATCACTATCTAAGATTTCTTTATTCAATTTCAAAATGAATATACCTCTAAGATATTTACTTGTATCTGAGTGATTTTATTCCATTTATGCTTCTGTATGAATTTCTACATATGCATATTCTTCAAGGTTATGTAATCTTTGTCAATTATAGAACAATATTATCCATATCTTTCCAACTAATATTAATAGTTTTCATAAATAGACATTGCGCGTGCAATAGTAGCTATGCGCCGAGTTCAAGGTTAAAAAGTAAAGAATGATCAAAATAGAAAGCAACTCAAAATTTTTAGGAATCAAACATGTAGTCTTGTGAATCAAAGATGGCAAACATGTAGTCTTGTGAATCAAAGATGGTCATCCTCGTATTTAGGGAGGAATAAATTATGAAATGCATCTTCAGATGATGCCCCGTAATACTCCATAAATTCAATACATGCTCCAGAGATGCATATTTTTTGCGCAAACCATCGCTCAAAGCTTCATGTCTAATATCTATAAATGCTTAGAGGTCAATTAATATAGCCAAACAAAGTGCTCAACAATTAAAAGTACAAAAAGTTCTCCAATCCAGTATCAGTTATGGGGATTTAACTCACCTCATGTCAACCTTTCCACATTTGCTAAAAAGCTACCTGAAGTCCTAATTGGCGAGCATCATATTCAAGGTTATCATAGAAAATAAACCTAATCTGTACTCTGCCACAATATGAGACGCTCAAGTAGGATGTCAATAGTGAGGCAAATACTATCAGTAGACATAAATATCTTCAATAAACACTCGGAGCGCAACCAATAATTAACAAAAGAAATAGAGTACACGCAACAAACGCAATAGCATAGACAATAGGAAAATGCATGTTTGACCTTTAATACGTCCAATTCAAAGCTCTTTCTAACTAAACAGAGAGTAACCTTTAAAATTATTCAGCAAGGTATTGGATGAAGTTGATGCCACATTGTATTAAAACTCACTATAATGTGACAATGATGAAGTCAACACCACTATGCATGTCTTTAAGTTTCAATACATGTGAAACTTCAACCCAAAAAAGTGATAGGAAATTTACAGAACATGAAAGCATTAGAAATATAATGATTTATTTAAATTAAGCAATATGCTACCAATCAAATACAAAACATTTCTTGAGAAAGGTCAGACCTGAAATTCTATAACTTTGGGGAAATTCTATAACCTTTGGGAAAACACGTCCACTGATGTATGTTTGTGTAGAAGATAAAACAAGGCCTGAATGTTTCATTGCACTTTGCAAAATTACATTGAATCAAAAGATACAAATATGAAGATTTTAAATGAATTAATTTAAGTACTCACATCAAAATCTTCCCCCAAAATGGAGGTGAAATCATATTAGATCATAGCATTATATTCTAAAAGATCAAATGGCAGTACCTCAGATATCTTGAGCAACTCGCATAATTGACTGCACCTTTCCTCTCTTATCTGCAATGGTTTTAGAATAAATATGCCTATTTGATCTGAATCATTAAAAAATTATAGAGAAAATTAAATAAATTAGATTAAAACCCTTTTTAACAAAAACATTCATAATTCTTGACAAGTTACTCTGATCTTAAAACTCGCCTTTGCGCTTATCATTCTTCCTTCTTATTTTTCTCTATCTTTTTCTTATATTTTACTTTTCCCTAAAAATGACACAATATAAAAAGAAAAATCCCATCAACAAACAAAAAATATCAGAGAGAGTTAGAGATTAGAAATCTAAATTCATGCGATTAAAAATTCACACCAATGCATGCGTTCTATCTCTCTCTAAAGAGAGTTAAAGAATGTAAAATGTTTTAGGTTGGCTCGTCGGATCCAGGAAAAAATAGAATATATGAATTAAATAAATGATAACATTTTCAAATATGCATATAGTAGAGAATTACAAATGAGTCCATAATCAGAAATTACAATATTATTTTAGCAAATTTTACACATGTATCCAAAAAAGCAATACTTTGCCCAATTTAGAAACATTTTATAGGTCACCTTAGATTCTCATATTGCAAATATTTTCTCTATCCAAATTAAACTCATAGTATCAAGTAAGAGAGTAAATTCAAATTATCCATATTGTTCATATCTATATTTCTTTAATACTACTGTTATCAAGGAAAGAATCAGCACTGGAAGTGTTCAATAGCCTCCCTCTCCTTGCTGTTTGATGAGCTAATTACTTTCACCTTCATTCCAATCCTATCCAAATTTTACTACAAAATGTCAAAGGCTACCACGCCCAACCATGTATGAACCATGTGATTAATTATAATGAAATAGGTATGGAGTTTCAAATGCATTTGATCACAAAAACACATGTATGAATTATGTGATTAATTATAGTTACATAGAATTTATTTCCATCTTAAGTGGCATGTGTATTTCAAGTTATATTATACATATGTTTTACAGTGTTATGGAGAAGACTAACAAACTGAGAATAATTTGCCCCAGTGAGTCCATCAGCCTACAAGACTACTCATTGGTCAGGTGGGAGTTATTTGAAGAACAAAAGATAGAAAAGGACAAAGTTAAATTAAAAATTTCCCCTAAATGTGGGGATATTTACTCTTATCATATTTGAATGACCATTATATTTAAAATTTTTAAATAAAAAACAATCAAAAGTTT